AGGGAAAATGTCAGCATTAGGGCTCACTGATGGTCTACTAAGTTATTGAATGAGGTTTCCAATGCATGAAAAACGTACTGCTGCCATGTGCCAGAACTGGGACTTGAATACAGGCAAACACTACAAAAGGAATCTAGAGAACAAAGAAGACGAATTTCAGAGCCACGAGAAAACTGATGAGGAAATTCCAACAAGAAGAGCTCTGACTGTAAGTGAGAATGCAACCACCAGCATGCTGAAGTTCCCTGTGGTCAAAAAGTGGACTGCATTTGCACACCTGTGCAACGATTGTTGACAATGCGTAACACCATGGCCAACCACAGTTAAGTGTGCTCCAGATTGAAACCCAAGGACAAGTTCGAGCACATCAATTCACAGATACTTTAGCCTGCAAATGTACAGGCACCATCCTTCCAGTATGAAAGTCTGCCGAAAGCTGGTCAGCAAATAAATGCCAGCGTTCAGAGAAACACATGCCCAAATAGTGTACTACATAGCCAGCACAGTGCACCTACAAGGCAATGCCTTGGCAGATGCAGCAAGCACAGACCACGAGCGAGCACAATGCAGCATCTCGTACATTCTTTTCCCATGCACCAGTGCTAGGAACACTAACTGTTCTAGGCAAGCAAATGCTTTTTTTTTTTTTTCAAAGCTTTACTTTATACCAGTTTTTTTTTTTTTTTAATTACAAATGCACAGACAAATGCTTTTTCAAATTAGGTTCAGGTTTTTCTTTTTTTTGCTCGTCCCGATCCGTGGCTGCAGAGATGGAGGTAGTAGAAAAGAAAATACCTACCATAATTACTCGAATCTAACGCGCACCTTTTTTCCGGTTAAGCGAGTGCGCATTAGAATGGAGTAGGAACAAAAAAATTACGGTCAATCTATTGCCATCGGCAAATCCAAAATGGCCGCCCCCTACGTGCGGCGGCATGGCACGTCGGCCATTTCTGCCTATGTGTTTCCCATGTGTGGCACTTCGTACGCGTGCTGAGGAGTTCGTCATCTAGTAGTGCATTAGCATCGACGGCGTGGAAGGGCCGACTCCAAGAACTCGAGTGCACCCGGTGCCGCTTTTAAAAGAAAAGTCATCGCGTGTGCAGAAACGAGCGGAAATCGGGCCGCATCGCGGTCGTTCGGAGTTCCTGAAACGTGCATGCGGGACCGGCGGAAACAAAAGCAGGAGATTGTCCACAGCAAAGCTTCATGCAAAGGCTTCAGTGGACCACAGCAGGGTCGGTTTCCGCAAATTAAAGAGCTCCTCGGTGAGTATGTGCTTGAGCAGCGAGCGGCACAGCGGCCCGTGACGACAGAATTGCTCCAAGTGCGGGCTATGCAATTAGTCTTAGAAAACGGTCTAAGGCGGAGCCAGTTTAAAGCAAGCAGGTGCTGGCTAACTAACTTTATGAAGAGGAAAGGCTTTTCCCTCCGAAGGGGAGCATGCATATGCGAAAAGTTTTGCGGAGGAGTACGATGAAAAGCTTCACAGTTTTCAGAGGTTCGTCCTAAACTTGTGGCGCAACAACGGCTACCTGCTTGGGCAAATCAGAAATGCCGATCAGACGCCTCTTTACTTCGACATGCCTGGCACCACAACCGCCGAGAAGAAGGGGGCGAAGCAAGTTCGCGTGCTGACATCGGTCCACAGTAAAACTACAGTGACAGCGATGCTCTGTTACACATCAGATGGGCACAAGCTTCGCCCGTACCTCATATTTAAATAGAAGACGCTCCCGAAAGGAGTCATTTTTTCGAGTGGTGTGATCGTGCGGGCCAGCGAGAAAAATGGGTGCGCGTTGCAATCGATGTCTTACGTTTGTTTTTTTTTTTTTCGCGGTGAAAATCGGGTGCGCGTTACAATCCAGGGCGCGGTAGAATCAAGTAAATACGGTACTCATCACTACTTTAACACTACAAACTGGAGCGACGGGTGTACCCTCCACCCCATCCAAGACTAACCAATGAAGAGAGCGTGATTTTCAGACGCCTACAAAGCAATACTTACATACTAGGCATATTAATGCACCGCCTCTACCCAAGGACATATGGCTACATGTGCCCACTCTGCAGTGTACCAGACACCCTGGCACACTTGCTTCTGGAATGCCAGTACCATGCTAACTGCGACGTGCAACTGGAGCGGGACCAAGCCCCAAGAATAAACGACGACCACCTAATGGAAACATGGGAGGCCAAGCTCGTCCTCAAGGACCTGGAAGACCAGGGACAACTTGTCACCAGGGCCAAGAGGGCAGTCGAAGCCAGAGGGTTCCTGGCTAAATAAACATTTATTTCTCTCTCTTCTCGTCTGGACTAGACTAGGATATCGAGGTGCATACGACACCTCTCACTACCTACACTAAATATATCATTTGTTATTATGTGAAGCAACAAACGCGCTACAAACACTGCTGGCACCAATTGTTCTTTGCACAACTGTACCCATCACAATCAAACATACTTTTTTGGCAGTACGCATAGGTGTTACGCGTCATAAAATTGGGGAGTCTGCTGCAAGACAACCTTTAATTTGTTACAATGCAAAGCGATATAAACCACGGCATCGCGCTCTTAGAGAAGCATTATGAGGTAACAGAAGCGCAATATAAGGAGAACACGGAAACAAAATCAAGTCACGAAATCAATAATTATATATATATATATATATATATATATATATATATATATATATATATATATACACACACACACACACAAAGTAAAACCTCATTATATCGAAGCGGGATATAATAAACTAATGAAAGTAACGATAAAATTGTAATTCCCCTTGAAATTCCCATAGACACCCAAGTATTTATAACCTCGTTTTAAGGAAGCAAGAATTTCCTCACAATGAATATAACGAACTATCCTTCATCCATAATGAGCACTTATTGATCATTTTGGTATTCGTCAATTTAATATTTTATAGCGTGCGACAGTTTACGTCTCATCTTGGCTGCGGTAATTTCAAAACTCGCGTCTTGCGCTCTCCAGGAGCCACCTGCCAACATGCGTGTAGGAGCAAGTTTTCCTACCCCCTCCCTTTTATTTTTCAAGAACGAATGAACTCGCCCGCGTAGGAACTTGCGCGAGCGTGCGCGCCAGCCGGCCGCCCCTCTCTTGTAGAACTCATTGGCCCGCCCACGCAACTGACCTCCTGCTCCCCTTCTGCTCCCCGCTGGGGCTGCCGGGACCTCACGCGCCGCCAGGGCGGCAGAGGGTGGCTTTCTTCCTTGCCTTTCGCTATGGAAGAGCTACACCACCTTATCAGTTTCTGCCACTAGGCACGAGATAGACAACAGCAACGGTAAACGTAAGCGCAAAAATATAACAATCAAGCAGAAGTCGGCAATGTAGAAAGCCGTTGAGTCTGGCGTCAAGAAGAAAAAAAGTGGCCGAAGATTTCAACGATGTCGACAGTGGGTGCCGCGGGCGACCAGGCCCAGACGTCGTGGGACGCTTTCCTTGACGCCGGCGTTGTGCCTGACTGCAACACTTTCTGCATGTACGTCGGTGCTGATGCTGACATGGTGACAACCGAAAAGTTGTCAGATGCGGGAATTGTGCCCGTGGTGACGAGCGTGCATGACGACAGTGACTAATAAGTGTCGACACCCTCGGAGCCTGATGTTGGTGAACCTGACGTACCAACATCGGCGCAAGCGCTGATTGCGACAGACTTGCTGTGCCGCTACTTTGGTGCTTACAATGAGAGCGAAGACGGACTCGAAATAGCTGCTGCATATGAAAAAGCAGTCATCCGCGTGAGGAAGAGTCGGCAAGAGTCTAAGGACTATTTTTCTTCAAAGTGATCTGCCAGCTGGTGTGCTAAATTCGGCGGAAATAAAGTGCACTGTTCTTTATTATTTTGCTATTGTGTGCCTTCCGAAGGCCGTTTTTCTCAGGACATCAGGCGGCTGTGATATTCCTTTGTGAGTACATTCTTCTTTGCAGGTTAATTGGCAGTAAAAATGAATATTGGCTATAACGAACTAATGGTCATACTGAAGTAATTATGACTCCCCCTTCGACTTTGCTATAATGAGGTTTGACTGTGTGTGTGCGTGTTTTATATATATATATATATAGGGATAAAAGACATGGGCAAGGTTTCGAAGAAGGTATACTCTGCGCGGCAACCAAACGTAATCAAACAAGCTACTGGGCCGTCACAACAGCGCGAGCAGGCAATGCCGCTTAATTCCGACACACTTTCACATACCTTTGGAACCAGGCGTCGTACTGGTGGGCTGAGTCCATAGTCGATGGTTCACATTCTTCGCTGCCCCATCTGGCGCAGTCTTTCTTCCTCCATGGCCACGAAAAATTCGTCTTTCACTTGATCCGACATCCCACAATCGCGATATGCGCAAGCAAAACATACGGCCGTGCTGGCGCGTGCGCGATGCCCACGCACATGCTGTTATTTCGGGGTAATCTTTACGTGTTTACATCTAAGTTTACATAGCACACACGCATTACAACGCCAGAGAAGACAACACCTAGCAGCTATGCAGCAGCTGCATTGTAGCACCAGTCGCACAGCTGATACAGCGAGCAAACGCGAAGAGAAAGAAAACAAAAGGAGTACGAAATAGCGGCACAGTTTACTTGTCTTTCAGGTCGGATTGCTATGGTATGACATCAGAGCATTTTATGCTAAAGCAGTCAATCTGCATGCAGGCACAGCTGCTAGCTTGCTAGCTCTGTACCTTCTAGAATTTCTATATGTGCATCCCAAAGGGGTTCCCTTCGAGGATGTCGATGGCACAATGGAGTCGAGCACTCATGAAACCTTCATGATTAATTGAAATACATTCAAGCTATATTCACTGTTGATATATTGCAGATAATACAGTACAAATGTTGATGTGAATCGATCCTGCTGGCTGTCTCAGCCACAAAACTTTGTGTCAGTACCCCTTTAATATTTTTACCTCCTACTGTGGTCGGTTGATGAGAAAAAAAGGAAAGTGTCTCCATGTTTGCCTGACCTTGGGAACGATATCCTTGAAGGAGTTGCGACGCACAGGCTTGGGCGACGGTTCAGGCAGTGAAGGTGCCACCGGCTGCATGGCCGGCTCCTGCGGTTCGGGTGGCAGCTTGTGCACCAGGATCGGCTTCTGAGGCCGCCTGTTGCGCACCGGGGGAACGATGGGTGATGGGCGTGGCACAGCCTCAAAGGGAAGCTCATCTTCCTCCTTGGGTATCAGCACCACCTGCCAAAAGGAAAGAACAGAAACAACATGCTGGCAACTAACACCAAGTGAGCCACTGAGAGGGCACTAAGAATAAGGGATTCACCGTCTCTACCTCATTCAAGTGTGCAGCAAAGAGACCACGGTCACCTTTCTACTAGAGAAATGCTGCTGGACACACAAACTTTGCGTAAAAGTACTCACACTCAACCACAACACAGTTGAACCCGTTTATGGCGAACTCAAAAGCCCTGCAAAAAGTGGTCATTATGTCAGTAGATCGGTGTAGAATCGAAACTGACTACAAAGAATGCCACTTCAATGAAATTTCTGGCCCAACAAAAATTATCCTTTTCCCATCGGCAGTATATTAGAGTCAATGCAAAGACATTCTCACCACAATCAACACTTTTCCTTCTGCCGTTTCGCAGAAACTAAATTTTACAATTCAATTAATTACTGGCTCAGATATTTAATGCCTTGCAGTAAACACAATCTTGAACATTTTGATTCAATTTTAGACCATAAAAATACATCTTCGAAGACTAAATCCAGTGTTGGCACCACCAGAAATCGCCGCTGTTCACTGAGGAGGGGGGGGGGGGCTCCTATTGCTTGATAGTATTGGTGAGGAGACTGCCCTGCTTTTACCATGACTTGCTTCTCAGCCGCAGGCCATCTAGAGCTGAAGCTCAGTCGCTCAATTGTCCACACTACTGCTGGGTGCATTTCCGAAATCATGCTATTTCCAGTGCCAATGTTTTTCGTTCGTTTCGTGCTTTGCTAGTCATGGCCAGTCTGAAGGAGTGCATTCACTTCCTTCTTTTGTGGCCTGTGCAGCCACCATGAGTATAAACACAGTGCCTAGAATGTACTGGCTAGTGTGCCGAGTTGAGATGTAACAGTTGATGAGTTCGTAGTAGGGGAAATCTCAAAGGTGACATGTGTCACCTGACGCAGAACTCGATAGGGCCCAAGGTATTGCGCGAAGCATTTCTCGCAGAGGCCAAGGCAACTAGATGGGAGCCACAGTAGCACGAGAGAGTCCGGAGGAAAATCACCATACCTATGTCGACTCTCATAAAGCGACTTTTCTGCAGCCTGAGATGATGAGAATCGAGCGCAAGCGTGTGATGAAAGAACCGGGTAAAGACATCTTGAGCATACGAAGTGGAGCATGGTTGGTCAGGTGGAAGCAGGGTGTCGAAAAGTAGTTAAGGATGACTACTGAAGAGAAGATAAAATGGTGAGCAGCCGGCAGTTTCATGCCGCGACAAGTTGTAGGCGGAAGTGATGAATAAGAGGGCAATGTCACAATTGGTGTGGTAAGCATGTCCATCAGTGTGTGGTTGATGTGTTCGGTAAGTCATTTAGTGATCACGAGGATGCTAAGAAGTTGCGAAATTGTGTCGAGAAGCACAAGATCAAAGTAGATCGTCCGCCACACGAGACAGGAAGCAGCAACCACGATCCGTCAGTAAGTGAGAAAGAGCGCCATGCTGAAGATGGGTGATGTTGTGCCAAAAGAAATCTGCAACGTCCATCACCAGAGCAGTGTAGCAGGCTGGGAAGTACTAGCTCAAGCAAGTCTCTCTGCCTTCTGATATATTTTCTATTTTTCCTTCATTGGTAATTAATATTTTTTTTAGATGCGAAGCAGCTCTAGCCTGTGTAGTATTGTCCCTTCCCACCGGGGCGGTGCCAAGTAGGCCACACTTTCCCTCACAGTGCACGCACATGACGTCACTTTCGAAAGTAGAGACTGCGCCCGGGTAACACTGACGCCACACAGAGTTTCACTTCAAACCGTTCTTCCAGCACCTGTGTCGACGTTCGTTTCAATCGAATCAATGCCGTGCGCCCCGCTGCTGCTTCACATTCCATCGTGGTTCCCTTCGAGGAGACGGTCCATAGTTTTTTATATGCTAAGGAATAAAACATAATGGCAACAGGAGCCAGCAAGAAATAAACAATGCATATTACAATGTGGAGCTCCATGGACCACTGTATATTGCCTTTAAGAAGAAAAAAAGACAAAAAAACTTGAGAACTTAATATTATTATGTGGGGTGTTATGTCCAAAAACCATGATATGATTGTCGGGGATGCCGAAGTGGAGTAGTTAGTTAGTTATGTTGGGTTTTGTGGCGCAAGAGCAACTAAGGCTATGCTGCGCCAGACTCATGGTGAGAATACTTACAGCAAACAGGGCTATGACAATGACTCTGAAATGTCTTAACGGCAATGGCATATGAATATGATGAGCGGTGAAGCGTGGCTGTATAAAGGCCTAAAAGGATTGGCTCCGCAAACGCGTGAAGTATATATCTCTTCTAAGATTATGTGTGTGATGCTCGGGGTGGTCAATGTGTATGGTTGGTGCATGAGGTTATGTTAAACCGTAGCGGCTTTTACATAGCACTAATACCATACCCGTGTCCTTATACCTAAGGGCAGGGAGGCAAGTGCCTCGTTGTGAATTCGAGCTGCAGCAGATGCCTCTCCGAAGAGGCTGTGCTACGAGTTACATCAGTCAACTTTTGCCATGTCTCGCGGTAGCATAGTTTAGTGTAGTTAGACCTTGTTCAGAAGTTGTGCTTCATTTAAAAAGCTGATCACATCAGCTATGGGTATTAGGGCGTCATCGCCCAAGAGTAGCATTGGATGGAAGGGAATAGTTAACCTGTAAAACATACGGAAATGTTTTTCTCTTAATGTTTCCATATGTGGGCAAGCTATTAAAATGTGCATTACAGTTAGTTGCTCCTGACACTTATCGCATGTTGGGGCTTCTTCGCCTACCAATAGGTAATTATGTGTGATGTGCGTGTGACCTATTCGTAGTCGACATATAACTACTTCGATAAAACGCGCTTGATGAAGACAGGTCTTCCATTCACCAAGAACAGGTTTAATTAGGTGAAGTTTGTTGTTTTGTTGCAATTTCCATTCCTGCTGCCAGTGAAAGGTGGTGGCCCGGCGAACAGCTTGAATCCCATCTCTGGCAGGTATGTTGGTTTTTGACTTGCGCATCTCTTTTGCTGTTGCAGCTAGATGGTCTGCCCTTTCATTGACTGGGATCCCGACATGACTCGGGACCCAACAGAGGCGTATAGTGCGGTCATCAGGTGTGTGGGATAGCATGTTTAAAATATCGCCTATGAATGGCTCATACTGAGATTTATAATTGAGACTTTTCAGCGCGCTTAACGAGTCTGTAAATATTACGGCTTTTTTATGTTTTGAGCTTATAATGTATCGTACTGCCATCCATAACGCATAGCACTCAGCGGTGTAGATGGATACGAACTGCGGTAGTCTAGTTATTTGCTCGTGTGTTGCTCCTACCACACTGCTTTCGACATAAGCAGATGTCTTCGAACCATCAGTATAAAATTCTTCGTAAGTGTTGTACGTTTGTTTTAATGTAAGGAATTCTTGTAGTATATGTTCACGTGGGGTGTTTTGTTTTTTTATATGTGTGAGTGAAAAATCCAAGAATTTGGAGAAATCACTCCATGGAGCCAAACTGGGTGGCCTTCTGGCAATGGAGAGTGCTTCGTTAGGAATATTCAGGGCATGAAATTTTTCTTCAAATCTTAGTATTAGTGGCTTAATTACGTTTGGTTTGTTGGCATAGTGTTGTCGTAGGTCACAGCGTGTGACAATACTGTGGCATATATGATCTGGTGAAGAACGAACTCTAAGGACATACGTGAGCATTAGTTTCGTTCTCCTATATTCCAAGGATGGTTCGTTACTTTCGGCGTATAAGCTCGAAATAGGTGAGGTTCGATAGGCACCTGTTGCGAGGCGTAACCCTTTGTTATGGACAGGGTCTAGGCGCTTAAGGTACGAGTCTCTAGCTGAACCGTAGATTATACTACCGTAGTCTAATTTGCTGCGTACTAAAGAGCGGTAGATGAGCAGGAGGCACTTACGGTCGGAACCCCAGTGCTTTCGGGACAAGACTTTGAGGACATTGAGGGCGCTGTTGGATTTCACCTTGAGATTATTAATGTGTGGAAGAAAATTGAGCTTCTTATCAAATACGACCCCCAGAAACTTCTGTTCTTGTTTTATTGGCAATACTGTTTCGTTTATTTTCAGTATGGGGTCTGGTTGTAAGCCTCGTTTTTGGGAGAACGCTACAGCAACCGTCTTTTCCTCAGAAAACCGGAAGCCGTTTTTGTTAGCCCATTGTGTTAGCTTGTTTAGTGCTATTTGAATCTGTCGCTCGCACGTCGCCATGTTAGATGACCGGCACGCTATTTGGAGATCATCCACATATAGTGAGTGCATAAGAGTAGATGGTATGACCTGGTTCACAGAGTTCATTTTGACGACAAAGAGAGTTGTGCTTAAGACACAGCCCTGAGGCACACCGTTCTCTTGAGTAAAAGTTCCTGAAAGTGTGGTGCCTAAACGAACCTGAAAAGTTCGGTTCGATAGGAAGTCGGACAAGCAGTTGAGCATCCTTCCGCGAATTCCAAGATCTGCCAGGTCCCGTAAGATACCGTACTTCCACGTTGTGTCATATGCCTTTTCAAGATCGAAAAATACTGCTAAGCAGTGTTGCTTGTACAGGAAAGCTTCTCGTACTGTATGTTCAAGGCGAACGAGGTGATCGGTGGTGGAACATCCTTTCTTGTAACCACATTGGTGAACATCTATCAAGTTATCGGTTTCTAGGATGTATGTTAGCCTAATATTAATAACGCTTTCGAAGGATTTCGCCATACAACTTGTAAGTGCTATGGGCCTGTAGCTTGTTGGTAATGTAGGGTTTTTTCCGGCTTTGAGAAATGGAATTATAATGGCTTTTTTCCACTCTGTTGGCATTCTGCCAGTGATCCAAATAGCGTTAAAGAAGTGCAGCAATGCCTTCACCGCTTCCTGGGACAAATGGGCGAGCATTTTGTAATGTATTTTGTCTGGGCCAGGTGCTGTTTTTTTACCTTGAGAAAGCACTCTGTTAATTTCCTGCAGGGTTAAGGGGGAGTTGTATGACCTGTCGTGAT